GTGACACTACCCTGAATTAAGGGATTATAGGGTTGTAAAAAGGGAGTAATTACATAATCAGAACTGACAGTAATATGTTGTGGGGGGGAGGAGAGTGGTTCACAAAATAGTTTTACATTTTACCTTTATTCCAGTTATGTACAAGTAGCTGTATTGTAGTGACAGATGTTTCTTTCTTTGAATCATCCACTATTGCTTACTGGAGGAGAGTCATAAAAATAACATTCTTAATACAGTTCCACACCCAAAGATTCTTGTACACTCATTTCTGTCCATGTACCGTTTCCCAGCTAAGCAGATTAAAATAACCAAAATATGAATGAGTAATCCAAAACTGAGTAATCTGGCTGGCATTATTGTTATTTTAAATTTTTCTTTCTGATAGAAAAACAAAAACTCAAACAAGGTACTGAAAATTTCCTTCAGGTGTTTTTCTTATTATTTTTATCATGTATTGCACAATCTTATGCATGTTTACTTTGAAATGCCCCGTGAAATCTTCCCTAAATTACTGTATTTAGAATGATTGACTGAATGAATGTTAAATGTTAAAACAGCTTCTGCCGTAGCAAAATTCTTAACAATATTATAACAGCTACTATGAGGTAAGAGACATTTCATTGGTCAGTGGAGTTGTTGAATGCCTTTATACAGAGAGATACTGGACTTTTCTATAAAAAATATCTTCCATCCTCTGGAATAGAAGACCCTTAATAGCAGAATAGATGAGCCTTACATATTAATAATGGGCACCGCTTTTTCCAGTTCAAACATCTGAATAACAGAATATGTGTCTGTTACATCTAGATTTTGAATTACATCCTGCCCCTTCCTCCCTATTGTTTTAAATACTTAACTTGTTAGTTGGTTTATTAAAAGCCAGTATGCCCTGCCCTTTCAAATAAATGTTAAGGCTGAGAGTTAAAATTACATGTAGTTGGAAAATCAGGAGTCTCTTTTAAAACCCAATTGCAGGAAATCTGAATAAAGACACATACCTGTACTAAGTCAATCATAAAAAAAAATTAAGGACAAAATCTCACCCTTGTGGCTTCCAACAATAACATTATCTATCACCAAAAGTACAACAATTAAATATTATTATATAGGGGTCTGCATGCTTTAAGAATGATTTGAAAAATGGGCTTTGGATCTTGCAAGAACACAGCCCCTCTCTGCTATTTATTAAAGTAGCTCAGTGTTTTCCAGGCTTCTATACAAGCTTGGAATCCTGAAAGAAAGATAGTGCTGCTGCTTTAAGGAATCCACTCACTAAACCTGATTCTATTGATCTTCCTCCATCTCTCCCTCACAGAACTGCCAATTGCCCTTCCTCTTTCTGATCTATGTAATTCTCATCTAAATCATGGTCTTCCCTCTTTGCTCCACTGCAAAGCATTCTAAACTCCGTCTGGCACTAGCTTTGGAAGCAATGTTCAAAGATGCACTGAACAGGACAATTGTGTTGTTTTAATGATAGACAATTGTTCAATATAGAAGGAAGATGCATTAGATTGTGATCTACTTACTGCATGAAAGACTAGTATAGTTAAATGTTGGATCCACAATTCATATTGTCCATGACTACTATAAAAACATAAAGGCTCTCCTGGATCTATCATCAGCTCATCTACTTCTAACTTTACTGCCACAAAATGGCCAACTTGATTCATCTTGGAAGCTCATAACTGGAAGATAATAGTCTCATTCTATTGCTGCCTCAGAGGAACCACTATTTAAGGCATACCACTGTGGTATGTCTTGGTGGTATGTAATAAAGTAATAAACTGCCATCAATATTAGCAGCAATTGATAACCTGATCCTCCATGACCTAATTGGTCCACTTTTCAAAACTTCTATATCAGTTGCCTTTAGCAGAAGTGCTGGCAGCAATTTCATGGTTTAACTAATTACTGTGTGAAAACCTATTTACTTCTCATCATCTGAATTTCCTTACATTTATTTTATTTGTTATTAAATTTTGCCCCATCCAAGCTGCTTTCAATAAGTGCAAAAAAATAAAATCCATACTATAAAGAAATAAAGGAATAAAATCAGTGTCTTTTAGAATCAAACTCTGATTCAAGGAATAACATAAATTTATTGCATTATTTCTGCCATGCACGTGGGTGTCCTTGGGAGAGGCAAGAGGAACTAATGACAAAGTGTACATCACGGCATCAAGCGCAAACTTCACTCCTTTCATTCTTGTGTCACAATGTTGCAAACAAGTGTATAAGGGAGGAATTTATAGCATGACATCATGTTATATGTTTCCTCATTTTAACATCTAAACTTACCACAGATGCCTCTAATTGTGCATAATTCCTATAATTCCATCATATTTCCCTTCTCCTGTTTCCTATTAACCTACCCTCTAACCTAAACAACATTATTGTAAGAAATTACAAATTATTATTATTACGGATCATCATACAGTCAGCCAGAAGTTCACTGGATTTGGCATTTATATCCTTATTATTATAATATATTCACAACAATATGAAATTACAGCTGCCAATTGTTTACCTGCATATGCCTCAAGTTCTTCTCAAGAACCTAGATTGTTGTAATGTATTGGTGGAGTATTGGTGCAGATCCAAACAGTGTAGTCTTTTGTATTAACAGATGGAAATTTTCTAAATGTGCAGATTTTTAAAGTACTATCCAAGATTTTTTCATCTGGCATCCATGTGCCAGTAACTACTGGGACCAGCATGCCAGTTTATGCCATAATCTTTCAACTTGAATTTTCAAATCTTGATACTTTCTAAACTTTATCTTTTACTATCCCCTGATATTACTATATCAATTATCCACACATTCTTTTTTTCAACTACAATTTAAATCTGATACATGCCAAGATTTTATCAGTTTTTATTCAGAAATCCCACATTATTTTAATCTGTTCATCTTCATCTAGTTTTTCAACTAAATGTTGTCTTGTGCTGTGTTCCTACCAATTTTTTTTTATGTGGCACATCATAATTTTTACAGATATTCCAGTGAATTATTTTGGCAACTGTGTAATATCATTGTGATCTTCTTGCATTAGCCAAGTATATGATCTATTGTTTCTTCTGCTTCTTTGAACAAACTGCACTTTGAATCATTTGGTGATTTTTTAAAATCTGTCCTTAATTCCATTCATTTGAATAGCTTGCTCTTGAGCACCCAAAATCAAGCCTTTCATTTCTTTTTAATGTTCCATTTGTAGGCCATTGTCAGATTTTATCCTTATTCATTTTTCCCTCAATTTTTTGTAGAAATTGAACATATAATGTTTTCCTTGCCAGCATTCTATTTTTCTGATGTTTGTGTTTTGTTTCCTGTACATTCAGTAAATTCTAATTTTTAAACAACATCAATGCTTGTTCTTAACTGCCTTTTATGTAATCAACTAATGCCTGCTTTTCTTCTTTGGCAGTTTGTTTGACAGACGTAAGCCTCTGCCACCATTTCTCTGCGGCAGGTATAATCTATCAATGTCACTATGGAGATGTAATGCATAGTAAACAGTCATAGGTTTTCTTGTTCTTCAACCAAACTCTCCATTTAATAATTCCAGCAGTGTATAATATCACAGGCATATCCCAGATATTGATGGCCTTGATGGTGTCTCCACTGTTCAATTTTGTCTTCTGTAATGTTCCCACTTTTTGGATACCTTCTCTACTAATATTTTTAACTTGTCCTTGCTTGATGTTATCAAACTCTAAAATTCACAGATACTTGTAGGCTTCTTCCTGGTGGCTCCTGATAGTATGGCCATCATTGTATAGGTAATCTACTTTTAGATTCACAGTCTGAGACTGCTACAAATTTAGTAATTCAGGTCCTAACCAAGAAACTAAGAATTATTAAGGCAGTGTTAAAAATATAAGCAATTCCAAGCAGGTGGCTATTTTTTAAAAAAGTAGGGTGTTCTCGTCTGATAAATTCAATATTTCCAAATTCCTTTAGAATTGCTCCAAGAGTTCCAATTATGATTGGTATCACCACTGATTTCTTTTTCTATTCAATTTAATAGAACTGAATAACAGAGTTGGAAGGGACCTTGGAAGAGGAGGAATAATAATAATAATAATAATAATAATAATAATAATAATAATAATAATAATAATAATAATAATAATAATAATGACCTTGGAGGTCATCTAATCCAACCACTTGCTCAGGCAGGAAATCCTATACCATTTCAGACAAATGGCTTTCCAGTCTCTTCTTAAAAAGTTCCAGTGTTGGAGCATTCATAGCTTCTGGAGGCAGGTTGTTCCACTGTTAATTGTTCTAACTGTCAGAAAATTTCTCCTTAATTCTAGGTTGCTTCTCTCTTTGGTTAGTTTCCATCTGTTGCTTCTTGTCCTGCCTTTGGGTGCTTTGGAGAATAGTTTGACTCCCTCTTCTTTGTGGCAGTCTTTTAGTCCAACCCCCTTCTCAAGCAGGAAACACTGTACCATTTCAGACAAATGGTTGTCCAATTTCTTCTTAAAAACCTTCAGTGTTGGAACTTCTGGAGAAAAGCTGTTCCACTGATTAATATTAAGAAATGGTGGATGACCATAAACAAACAAGGAATTTTTATCTGCAAGCCCAGTATTTTGAAATTTCTTTTCAATTATTTTTCCTTAGGACTACCATTATCCAGTATGGCAACATCAATGAAGCAGACATCCTCCTTTTCAATTACTGTTATATCAGGCATGTTATAGACAAGGTGCCTGGCTATATCTTAGTCCCATAAATCCTTAACCTGCTCATTTTCCAAAACCTTCTCAGCTAAACTACCCTTCCGATAGGTTTTACTATATTTGAATGCAAACCTCCAATAGTTTCCAACAAATAATTTTGGCAATTTGATCATGATGCTGCTTATAGTCAGTTTGTGAGATTTTGCTGCAGCTACTGATCATTCTTTTCACTACAAATATGACATTTGCAATTGTTTGCTACATGTTCACCTTCATGCAGGTAGTTGGCAAAGCTTCTTTTTGACCCACTAAAATAAAGCCTTCAGTTTCTTTCTTTAACACTCCATGTGGGATTTATCAGTTTTCCCTTGTACATTGTTCAAGTATTGACCATGCACTGGATTATTCTTCCAATTAAGAAATCAGTTTTGAATTGTTTCTTTTTTATAGTCAGCCTTCAGCCTCTTGTTTTCAAGAGCTTTTCTGGGCTGATTTTTAGCTTTTTTAATGTAGCCATTCAAGTCATGCTTTTCTCCCACCACAGGATTTAAAATCTTTTCCTCCAGAAACTTAGGAGAATGTTGGAGAGAATGCCCATTTTTCATTAGCATATTTGTCACAATCCCTCCTACTCTACTTCTAAACATATCAATTCAGACTTCTTTTCCATGTGAAAAAAGAGAGAGAGAGAAAGCATTCATTCAATATACACCTTTAATACTTTTATTATCTTATCATTCATCAACTCAACTGTTTCTCTAGCTGGCTTCCCAATAATGATATTCAATAATTATTAATTATGTAGACACACATGCACATAAGAATATTACTAATTATGAGTATGCAAAATTGAATAGTAGATATATTTGTATTGTATTTGGGTTGCAAAATATCAGATGACCAACTAAATAACTGTTTTCTAGTGGCTGTTAGGATTTTTTTTTTACATGTATAAAAACCCTAGGAAATGAAATGTGTTTTTCCCAAAAATATTACAACAACTTTTCTCTGAATTCCTAACCAACATAGCTACTAGCCATCTCCATGTGAGTTTTAGCTGCAACACATCTGGGAAGACCAACTTGGGGAACATTATTTTAAAACAGTAGCTAAGTAGGACTAATCCATTTTTTTCTTCCTTCATAATCTACCTCAGTAAAAATATTCTCTCCTTTCCCCAAATTGTAGATCTCAGTCTCTGCATTACAAAAACATAAGCAGTGGGAAAGTCAAGCCACTAAAAGTTTGCTGTAATGCTTATTGTAATTTAAATAAAGATTTGCTTCAAAAACATTTGGAATGCTGACTATTGTTTTATTTTTCAGCCATAGTCCTGGAAAAGATGTTAAATACTTATAGATATTGAGGTGTGTAAACAAAGTAAACTCTTGTTCAAATCATTAATTTGGTTTAGAAAATCAGACCAATACAGATGTTCAGATGAAATCTTCCAAATAGATTTGCTGAAAGACACTAATATTGGGTAAGCACTTATTCCATCTTCAAGGGCTGAGATTGAAAGGGTTCCTTATTCACTAAAGCTCAAGAGAATAGCCACAGATGATACAGTATTGATTAGAGGTGGAACCTGTAAACAAGTAGTCGCTATTTTGTTTTTAAACTACTTTTCCCATCATTTATTCCACATATTGAAAGCAGCTTATAAAGATTTAGTTAACAGGATATTCCTATATATGCTTAGAGTTTTTCTTTGAAGCAAAGTCTACTGAATTGAGTGGGACCTTCTCCAAGATACCTTGATACAAGATTACAAATAATAGTAAAGTCATTATTAAGGCCACAGAATTGTTAAAGAATAGATTTTTCTGTATTGTTTGATTATAGATTGTGTTTATCAATTTCTTAACAAAAAATTGACCACCAAGAACCCATCTCAGCTACTTTTCAAATGACTTGACTTCTACAGGTAATACATGAAAATTTTGGAAGAAAAGGAAGGTTGGACAAGCTGAAAGAATGCCAACTGACTGAGTTAATTATCCTGTAGAAATCAGAAAAAATAGAGGAACTCCTAACTGCAGGCAGGGGAAAAACATACACATACAGGTTGAATATTGATCAGACTTGGGTTTATGAAGGGTCATGTTATGAGTCATGTGGAAGATGATTGGCAAAGAAAAAAATCCCAGTAGTTGGACTGACTTGATGGAACAATAGGCTTAGAATTAGGGAAAGGGGTAGCTTAAAAGGAAGGAAGCAGTCGTCAAGTTAATTTACTCAGCAGGTTTCGTAACTATCCTAGCAGGCAAATACCAAAAAACTGGCAGGATTCCTAGGATGAATACGCCCCTTTGGGGCGTGTGTGTATGTGTGTGTGTGTGCATATATAAGCATCCAAAGTCTGAGTAGCCTAAATTATACTCTTCATTTTGTAAGACTACCACATCTTACCTTTTTGTGTATGAGGAAAACGAAGGAAGGAAACAAAGAAATCAGCCGTGGTGTTATGGGCCACCACCAGCAAAGACTAGGGAGAAGATTGTTGCTACTGATGCTCATGCAAATGATGACAAGTAAGTATTAATGGTCTTCCTGCACTTTCTCACTAATGAAAGATGGGACAGACACAGCAATATCCAATATCCTAGATTAAATGCCAAAATTCCATCAGGGTTCAATATTTGTAGTGGATCTTCTCTTCTTTTCTTTCCTCTCCCCTCCCCTCCCTTTCCTTCCCAGCAAAATGCAGTGCTTCTGAAAGGATTTACTAAATTTTCAACGGCACTAGTATGAAACATGTTTAAAAATTAGGTGCACAATTTCTTTTCTCTGTTTTGGGAAGGTGAGGGAGAAATTTGGCTGGCAGGCTTGGGCAAATGAGGTGAGCTAAATTTGATTTCATTGCAGTTACATTTGTACTCAATGAAAAGGTCGTGTGGAACATATGATTACTCTATGGGCATGTTTTAATCATTTTCTTAATTCATCACAGTCAACACATTAATTAGAATTGACCTCAGGAGCCCCACTTTATAGGGCAATTAGGGTGACTCAGAACTTCCTACTGTCACCATCAAGACTAAATAAGGAGGGAACCTTATTTAGGAAATAGCCATCAGACAGCTGATTATAAGAAGAAGCTCAATGATATCTTAGAAGAAACTTTGTCTGGGAGGAACTGATTTTGGGTCATGCAAAGACAGGCCTAGGGCATGAGTGAGGTATCACTGGGTTATGTTGTCTGTTGGGTTATGTCAATGTTCTAATGTCTGCTGTCCAAAAAGAGAGAACTTTAAAAAGAAGGTGTTTCACCCAGTGAGTCAGCCTGGCTCTCAGTTAATGAGTTTGTGACAGTATGTAACATTTGTGGACCTTCTTATTGTTCTGAACTATTTTATCTTCATTATCATTGAATCCTAAATCTTAAACCTAAACTTCTTGGTAGCTCTGATTTAAGCTTCTGTGTGAAATCATCTATCACTGTGGGATGAAATATGATTTGTATGCTGATGATATCTAATTATACATATCTGCACCTGGAGAACTAAACAATGCTTTTTATATCCTCTCTTAATGCCTGGAATTTATGAGAGTCTGGATAGAGAACAGCAATCTTCAGTTCAACCCTGGCAAGACTGAATAGCTTGTGTTTGGAGGCCTTCCAAATCTGGAATTTTACCATATTTTTTACTGGATGGATTTGCACTGCCCCAAACAAACTCTGAGCAATTGGGGGATATTTCTGGGCTCACGGCTCTTGTTTAAAGAGCAGGTGGCAGGCATGACTTAGAGGGCCTTTGCACAACTTTGTGTTGGTCATCAGTTGTGCCTGTTCCTGGATAGGCTCTACAGGTAGTCCTTGACTAGTCACTTAGCAACTATTTAAAGTTATAATGGACTTCTCCAAGACTACTGTATGTAAGACCCAGATTGAAATTTCCAATGGTTAGAGCCCTCCTCTGATCACATGATTGCATTTTGGGCATTTAGCAATCAACCCACATTAATGACTATTTGTGATTTGCAACATCTTTTGCTGGAAACTGGTGTTTATTTCCGGTTTCCAACAAAAAGCCTGCTTGCAGACAATGGATCCGCTTAATGATCGTGACATTTGCTTAACAAGCAAAAAAGATTGTAATATTGGACATGGTCATGTGGTGTCCCATTGATGACCAGAAAGACTTACAATAATAATTCTAGGCTCAGTTATGATCCTAAGTCAAGGACTACCTGTAATCTCAGTTATTCATGCCCTGGTCACAATACAGGCACCTTACATCTCTGTTCCATGGGCTGCATCAGTTGCTAGTTTGCTTCTGGGTTCAATTCAAGATACTGAGATTGATCTTCAAATCACTGTGTGGCCTGGTTATTTGAGGGATTACTCTCCATAGTTACATATACCCACTGCATCAGTTCCAGAATTATGTTATATATGGTATATTATTATATATTAATATATTATATTATTTATATAATATTATGTTATATTATATTATTTATATAATATTATGTTAAGACCCAAAAGATGAGTCTTTTCTGCCATAGCACTCACTCTCTGGACTCTCTTTGCGCCCCTGGTAGAATTGGCCCTGACCCATTGACTTTCTGGAAATCCCTTAAAACCTGGGGATTTTGTGGAATGGCTATATTGTATCTAAGGCCTTGAATGTATTCTCCCATGGTATTGTTTATATTTATGTTTTAATAAGTTCTTTAAATGGTTTTAATGAGTTCTTTAAACTCTGCTTCTTTGTTTTACTTGTACATCACCAAAATTACATCTGTGAGATGGTCAGCTAGATAAATGTGATAAATAAATGAAATAAATAAAATAAGCAGCTTAAATATAAGTAATACCTATACTGCAGCTTCCAAATTATTTGTATTGTATTAAAATAGTAATCTAAGCTGTAATTCTCATGATTTTATATATTTTTTTCTTTTTAGATGTTGAACCAATCTATGCTACCAGAGGTGAGCATCAGTTATTTCTGCTTGTATATTGACTTGTTAGCATGCTATTGATTAGAAAGTTTATCCTACTAAATACTAAAATATAGGGGATGTGAACAAATACTATTTTCACTCTAATGTTCTGTGAAGTGTAGCAATCTACAAACTATATAATAGAAATTGTGGCAGTGCTGTATCTTATCTCAACTAAAGCTGAAAAAATATTGAATATTGCCTTTACTAGCATCAAAGTCATTTACAGAATATTATTAGTCACATGGTCCATATGCACCCCAGTAGGTCATCACCAGGCTCAAGAGGTACACAAAATGTTTCCAAAAATGCATTAAAAAATTGGAGGAACCTAAAGGATTCTTTGAGAAATGTGAAGGAGGCTGGATCTTTAGAAAGGGAACAAGATTGGAAGAGGACACTTGGTTCTTGGCAACGTGGAATATGAAAAAAGTGGGTGGGTGGACAAATAAAAAACAGACTTGGGATAATGGTCTTGGGCTAATCACAGCCAGAGGAGAGGGGAAATGCAGTCCAAAAGGGAAATAAAAACTAAAAGAGAAAAAATGGAGGCATGGAATAAGGAGAAACAGAGCTTATAGTCAAGAAGAGATTGGCTAACTTAAGAGTTTATAGATTCATATCCTTTAGATTTCAGCTCTTTTTCGAATCTAAATCCAGGTTACCAGAAAATACCCTGTGACCCTACAGGTACAATAAACCTTTCCTTTTTGCTCAGTCTGTGGAAAACAGGGATATCTAGACCGGATTGTAGGGGGTAAAGATTCCCGGGATGGAGAGTGGCCTTGGCAAGTGAGCATCAAATTGAATGGGGAACATCACTGTGGTGGTTCTCTTGTCACAGATCGATGGATCATCACAGCCTCACATTGTTTTAGTCTGTAAGTATGCACTCTACAACCTGACATCTTTCAGTCCTGTTTCTTGGGAAAACAAAATTCTTGGTAGAGTTTCAAAACAGACTTCCAAAGTCTCCCAGTGCCTTCCCAGCCAATGGGGGAATTCACAGACAATCTTCTAAACCAGATTCCTTATTTAATAATGGTTGTCAGCCATATATGGTAGAATAGAAAAGACACCATGTAGACCTGAAGCTATTATTAAAACAACTAAACCTATTATTATTAGAACAATCTAAAGCTATTACTAGAACAATTATTCTAACAGAATATTATGAGTTCTGATTGTGCTCCCCTTCCTGCCTCTTTTACCTTCAGGTAAATTATGGGGGCTATTTGAACCATTTTCATAAAGCACTTTTTTGCCTGGGCTCAAGCCTTGTTTATCTGATCATTTGCTTTGGTAATGGAACTTTTCTCTGTCCTTCAAGACCATCCTTCTTTATATTCACTACGATCACATCTATTAAAGAAAACAAGACTGCATGTCTTCCTATACTTTGCATAGAGGGGGCTTTAAGTCAATCTTCACACTTAGTGATTGCCTGGCCAAGTACTTGCACTTTTCATATTAACTATAAAGATAAAAATGCCCTCAAACTGAACTTGACTCCTGTAGGTTTGCCATTGTTGTCTTCTGATTTTTTTTAGCTTCTCAGAATAACCTGAGATTTCATCTTTCATCCAAGAACCATCAACCAAGCTTCATCCTGCTTAGCTTCAAAGCCCAGAAAAATTCAACCACATGGTGAACTTGCAAAAATAAATGAATTGATTTCAACCTGCATTTGAATCAGTTTGAGATGAAACTGAAAATTTGGTCATGACTAATTTAAATTTCATAGCTGAAGAAACAATAAAGTTTTTTACTTCTTATTTTTGTATTCTTTTGCTTACCTTTCAAAGTTTTTTTTTCATTTCCCCATTGATTTTATTTTAATTATTTTTTCTATAAAACTAGGATTTTTAAAAAATTAAGAAACAAATATTAATTATAAAAACACAAATCCAGTTGATCAATAGTAGAAACTTTCTTTAGGATATTTGAAAGGATATTAAATGTATACTTCAGACAAGAACAGTATTTTTGTTTTGATGGTAGCATGTATTTTCAGGTTTGTGTATTTTTTAACATATAAATTTAATTTTATCTAGATATAATTTTATATGTTCATATGTGCTGAGAGAGAGAGAGAGAGAATGATGTACATTAAAAAAAAGGATTTATTTTGGACTTTGATTCAGCGCTACAGCTCATCTTGTTTGGCACCAAAATTAATTCCATTTGTCATATAAAGACTTTTTTCTCTCTTTCTCATCTGTGTGCCTCTCAGGATCAACAATCCTTCTAATTTTACTGTACTAGTTGGAACACTGAAGCTTTCAGACCCAGGGCCTCATTCAATCATAGCCTCTGTGAAGCGCATTATTCTCAATCCCACCTATGAAGGGGATTCAAGGATTGGAGACATTGCCCTCATCCAGCTGGAGCAGCGACTGCCTCTGGCCCAACATATCAGCCCCATCTGTATCCCCAATGCCAACATCAACTTCCTCCCAGGACAGAAGTGTTGGGTCACTGGCTGGGGGAATATTCGAAGTAAAGGTAGGTGTGGAAAATGAAGTGAACTTATGGAACTTCTACTATATATAATATTCAGATTTGGTCTGTTTGGGCAATTTTTTGATATATGATATGATTTCATCACTTGTAGTCTCCCCAGTGTCCATGGTTCAGAAGTGGTTAAGTCTAACACATTTGGAGGACATCAAAAGAGACTTTTTATCATGATTAACTAGTGGCCTACAACCTTTTGGGCACCAGGGACTGGTTCCATGGAGACAGGTTTTTCTGCAGACTGGAAGGGGCATTATTTTCATGTGCTGCCTACATCCTGCAGATGGGGCTTTGCTTGTTTGTGTGGCCTGGTTTCTGGTATGCCGTGGATGGGCACTGGGTCACAGACTGGGGGTTGGGGCCCCCTGTTTTAGATTTTATTGTGTTCCTTTAAATTAAACCTCTTAATTTACTCTCCTTGCAGAAGGACGACAGAACTCTGATATACTACAAAAGCTAGAAGTTCCTATAATCAGCACAAAAAAATGCAACACTCTCTACCGCCAGGACTCTAGACAGCCCAGGGCCGTAAGAGAAATTAAAGAAGATATGATATGTGCTGGCTTTGCAGCTGGACAACGGGATGCTTGCCAGGTAAGATTTTGCTGGGTTTTACTCAATAAATTAATTAGACTATACATGTACAGTTCATGAGGTTTGGGCACCTTCGTTATTTGTTATTGAGATTTAATTGCAAAACTCTGTATAATAGCCAAGAGTTAGCATTATTTTTGCTGCCTTCAGGTAATTATCCTGATTTTTGAAGCCCAAATATGGTATCTTCACTCCTAGTTAACTGAAAGGCACGTACACATACACAAATATATAAAAAAAATTCTTCTCACTCTTTTGTGTCTTTTTAGTATGATAGTGAAGATGAAAACTGGATTAAGTCTTGGTCCATATCCCTGTCCATATTCCATGCTAATGATCCATGATGGTCCATATTCCATGATAATGATAAGGCATGGACCAATATGGATTGGTATGCATAGTTTGGGCATATAATAGAAATACACAACCAGCAATCACAGATAACACCTCACTTTTCTCCAAGTGCCATGACCTAATAGTTGGGTCACCCTTGGTTTTGATGTACCAAAGCTGCTTTTTCAAAAGGCAACTGGATTTTGTTTTTCTTGAAGATATTTTGCTTCTTCAGTTCTGACTGAATGGTGGAGGATAGAAGGATTTATATTTCTTGCAGTCATCTGGTCATTAGCACTCTTTCTGAGATTTGTTGAGGCCACTAGGAGGTTTATTCATGCCAAAAGGACTGTGTTGTTGAACTATTCAGGTGACCCCAAGGTCACAGATAAACTTCCAAAACTCTCAGAAAGAGTGCTAATGACCCGATGCCTGCAAGAAATATTAATCCTTCCATTCTCAACCATTCAGTCAGAACTGAAGAAGCTTCTTGGATGAGAAGTGAAACATCCTCAAGGAAAAACAAAGTCCAGTTGCCTTCTGAAAAAGCACCTTTGGGACAACCATGACCTGGATGACTGAGAATCTCCATAGAACCTTGATTGAGATGTTTCTGTAGCATGCTTTTGAAGTTGGCATCATGCTTTTTCAGTAGCTACTAGGGCCATTAAAATGGAATTTCTGATTTATTGCCTTTGGGGAAATAGAAATAGGGCCAAATTTGAATTCTTATAGATAAATTGATTTTCTATGGACTTCTTCAACTTCAGGTAACCTATCTCACAGTGCACCTTTCAAAATAACAGAAAACATTTATCTCTGCTATTATTCAGTAACATATCCATCTATATTCTTTATCCTTTGTAACACATGCAGAATTAATAATAAGCATTTGATTCCATCATTGTCCTTGTTTATCCTTAAGATCTGGTCTTTCTGCGCAGGGTGATTCAGGTGGCCCACTGGCCTGCCGGATGGAAGACTTTTGGTTTATTGCAGGAGTAGTGAGCTGGGGAGATGGATGTGCCCAGAAGAATCGTCCTGGAGTTTATGCAAGAGTGTCGTACTATCAGCAATGGATCCAGAGTCAAATACCAGAGCTCGTAGACATGAATAGTAAAGACCATTGGTCAAGGGTGAATTACAATAGTACCAGTAACAGTGCCTCTACTGGAAGTTTCAATTTCATCTTCCTCTCTGCTGCCACCATTGTTTTGCTGCTATTATCTCAGCAGACTCTTTAAAAAAGAGAAGCAGTTATTTCTCCTGGGAAGATGTTTGTGTTGATCTTTTCTACTCTGTTTTGGAAGAAAACAGAACTTATCAGAAATGTCAATAGGGAAACAAAGGATTTCAATTTTTTCCCTTCCTTGCTGTGATGAAGAATTCACTCCAGCATACCATCTTTGGTGCTGATACTCATGAAAGTGATGGATATCCAAAAGCTGAGAGTATTCTCCATTCCAGAAATACTATTTGAACTAGAGGATTGGAATAGAGGAACCCACCATTGGAAACTTTTCCAATTCCTGGAACAGATTCAGTAATAGATATGGCAGCCATTCTATTAGCCTCTAGTTATATTATGGCTCATTTGTTTGATTTATATCCGTCCAAGAACTGCATTTCAAGCTTAGGCAACTTAATAAATGGTGTTGTTATCATCATTGTTGTAATTGCTAGAGGGAAGAAGATCCAGTCTACACCCCCTACTATATGGGTGCTTCAGGGTTGGGTTCTCTCTCCCCTTCTAGTTAATATTTATATGAGGCCACTGGGTGAGGTGGTCCATTGGCATAGGGGGCAGATATCATCATTATACAGATGACATCCAGCTTTATATCTCTACCTCAAGCTCTTTGAGTGATGTATGGGCATCCTATCTCAGTGTCTGGAAGTTTTGGGGAAATAGATGAGGGTTGCCATAGCCCAGACAGATCTGAAACATAGTGCTCTTCCTAAACTCAAGGCTCCTGTTCAAAGAGCAGGTGGTAGCCATGGTTAGAAGAGCTTTTGCACACCTTCAGGTTGTGTACCAGTTGCACCCATTCCTAAACCCTGCTCACAATTACTCATGTCTTTGTAACCTTTTGTTTAGACTACTCCAATGCACTCTACATGGGGTTGTCCCAAAGATCATTTAGAAACTTCAACTGATGCAGAATATGTTTGTGCAAGAACTAAATGGTACCAGGTATAAAGCATACATAACATAACATCATTACTGTATGAGCTGCATTGGTTACCAGTATTTTTCTCGGTGCAATTGAAGGTGCTAGTTGTCACCTTTAAAGCCCTATATGGCTTGGAACCAGGTTATCTGAGGGACCGCCTTTTTCAAAGGGTCTCTACCCATCCAATTCGATCTAGTAGATTGGGCATGCTGCATATCCTGTCAATCAGAAAATGTCAGCTCATGGGATTAGAAGATGGGCCTTTTCTGCAGTAGTGTCTGCCCTTGGAAGTTAGAATTGTCCCAACCCTGTTATTCTTTTGTAAGGCTTTAAAAACCTGGTTATTTTCCCAAGCCTGAATGGGAAAGGCACTGAATGTGTTAAGGACCCCATTTCTTGGCTTAATTGTTAACTGGCCAAGTATCTTAGCTGCTGCACATATTTATTTTGGGTGTTTTTTATTGTTTTTATTGTTTTAGAATGCTTTTATTGTTTCAACTGTAGTAATTTTTTTAATTGTAAACCACCCAGAGTCATTGACTGAGATGGACAACTAAATAAATTGAATAAATAAATAAATGAATTAATTAATGAATGAATGAATATTACTAGGCAGACTGATCAATGGGGTATCACAGTTAAAAACAGATGACAAAATGCATGCGTATATATTGCAACTCAAGAGGATCTGATAGCTGAAGCAAGAAAAGTAATCATCTCTTCCTCCATTGTTCTTTGCACACCTTTTTCCTTATGTCAAGAGTTCTACCTGGTTACCCTTCAACAGGTTAGATGACCAGATGACCAGTCAAACTATGAGCATCACATTAATTGTGGACCTTCTTGTGAGAGGCCCATAGCAGGTGCCTATGCAGCAGTGTACCTAACATGTAATAAAGGAACTAATAAAGGAGAATATTTGTTGCTCAGGATTGAAATGAGGAATCTTTGATGCTCTCTGAGCTTGGTTGTTTTCTTGCAGACATTTCATTAACCAAACTAGGTAACATCATCAGTGCTAGTGATAGCACTGGTTAGGAGGTTAGGAGAGCCTTTGCACACCTTCAGGTGGTGTGCCAATTGCGCAATTCCTGGACCAGGAGGCCCTGCTTACAGTAACTTGTGGCCTTGTAACCTCTTGTTTGTTTAGACAACTGTAATGCACTCTACATGTCCAAAGAGCATTCAAGAGGAGCAACTTCATTTCTCCTACTGGTAGAGCTGGTTTTACTTAGCACTTGTGGCAGTGAAATCTTATTGCTAAAGACCACTAGGATGCGATGCTGCAGTACTTTTGCTTTCCTGTGAGGGTCACCCAACATTTTGGGGAGGAAATTTAGATCAGAAAGTCAGTGTAGAAGAAAAGGACAATTCCAAGCAACTTTGAGAAAAGGAGAAATCCAACAGAAAATTCCATTCAGAAATTTCTCAACATTGTTAGTGATTTAAAACCATAGTCGGTAGAAGATTGATCAGCATCTACTAGTAGCACATTGGTCGTTTCCCTTTTTTTAAAAAATATATTAATTTATGCTAAATTATATTGCTGGAATCAAGAAAGTTCAGAGTGAAACGGAAGCAGAATTTAATGTGGAAAAGGTTGATGTAAATGTGCTCAGGAAATTTTTATTCCAGCAGTTATGCCAGGTATGGCCATTCATTGTCCACCTAGCTTATGTTTGCATTTCCCAGAATGCCTAGGATTTTTCCATTAAAATGTGTTATTAAAAAAATACTGGATTCTAAATTTTCTGAAGGCGTGTTTTTTGTGGTGTTTCTTGGAGCCATGGTGGCACAGTGGTTAGAATGCAATACTGCAGGCTAACTCACTGCTCACTCCAGGAGTTTGATTCTGAACACTCAAGGTTGACTCGGCCTTCCATCCTTCCAAGGTTACTAAAATGAGGACCCAGATTTTTGGGTGCAATATTCTGACTCTATAAACCTCTTAGTGAGGGCTGTAAGGCACTGTGAAGTGGCATATAACTCTTACGTGCTATTGCTATTGTGTATTAAATTAGAGGAAAAAAGCAAGAAGTGCTTAGACAATGTTTCTCAACCTAGAAGATGTGTGGATTTCAACTCCCAGAATTCCAAACACTCAGCAAGGAAGGTTGTGGAATTCTGGGAGTTGAGGTCTTCATGTATTCAAGCTGCCGAGGTTGAGAAATACTGCCTTAGAACATAAAAACAGAAAGAGCATCTTGCTGGATCGAACTCCTGGTCCATTCAATCCAGCAGTCTGTTCTTACAGAGGCTATGCAATTGCATAAAGAAGCTCAGTAGTCTTCCAGCAGATAATCTTCAAAGCAGTTCCACTGCCATCAAGGCTAATAGCCACTGATCCCCATGACTCTCATGAATTCATGAAACCCTTTTTGAAGCAGCCAAGTTCATAGTCAGCATCACATCTTACTCTTGCTTACTACAGGACAAGATAAATTGGGAATGGAGTTTGGGTGGCTAGACAAAAAAAAATAAAAAATAATATTCTGAACAACTCCATCCCTTATCTTGAACCTCCAAGCTACAGCTAAGCATTACAATTTACACTTTGCTTGAATGACAGTTTACTTAGTCCTCCTTTAAATATGTATTTACTGTTCTCTTCTCTGCCTTTGAAAATTGAGAGGGAACAGATGCTTCTTCCAAAGCTAAATTGCTGCTGGCACAAACATTCTTAGCAGGGTTGTTTTATGAAATGACTTGAAGGTTTACTGAATCCACAGCATGGTGCTACATATTTAAGACTTATGCATTGTTTGCAGTATAGCGAGTACATGGTTTTTCTAAGATGTATGTTATTTCTCAGCCATGTTTTTCCATGTTTAATAGCACTGCTTCTGAAATGCAACTCCCATACATCTTTCAATGGTCTCCCTCCCTCCTTTCCTTCCTTCCTTCCTTCCTTCCTTCCTTCCTTCCTTCCTTCCTTCCTCCCTTCCTTCCCCATAAACTCCTTGAACTTGGACACCCAGATGGCACATAATTTCTCTCTGATTTGAGACAGCTCTCCCTTGGGGTGAACCAAAGATGTTGGAATGGGAATAATGCCACTTTGTTAGCTGTTATTACCTAATAGCTTCAAATGGTGAGAGTTGAAAACAGACTTGTGACAACCTCCTGGAAAATATTGTGTTTTTTATTCTGTGTTTGAATACACAGAAAGTTAAGCTCATCACCCATCCACATTGCTTCAATACCCGCCCCTTTTCACTTCCTCACTCTTTCTTTCTTTCAATCCAACCAATGTACTTTACAGTCTTAAAATAGGAGTCATTAATCTTCAGATTTGGGTCTGATGGCAGCTTCTGGGTGTAAAATTGAAACTCGTCTAACAGGATGAAACTCAATCACTGTGCATGACTTTTCTGTCGTTTTCAAGACAAAACTACTCATCTGAAGCTAGACTGACTTATGAATAATATCTATCACTCTGCCATAAGTTGTGGTCCTTGGGAAATGGCACAAAATTTAAATCACCAATCTTTTCTCTTAACGACAGGCAATATTTCAGCTAGGGTTATTTCTTTCAGTCTCTGAGTGGTGGAAAGATGATAATGATGGTATCGTATATCATCTAAAGTAACAAGGCTGGAATTTTTGGTTCTTCTTCTTCTGGACTCTGAACTTGGTTGTTTTTTTGCAGATGTTTCATTACCAGACTAAGTAACACTTTCAGTGCACTGAAGAATGAAAGATGTTACCTAGTCTAGTAACAAGACATCTACAAGCAACACCAAAGCTCAATTAACACCAAGGACTCCACAGTTCAACCATGAGATACATATATTCTCTTCTCTTGATACTGTATGCCTTTTTTATTATTTTTATTTTGGGATTCAAGGAACATTTGTAAAATATCTATCAGAACCTTATATTTTCCTGCTGGATTGGAGGGATTAAGTTGTACTATCAAAATGTAGCGCTCTATCACAAATTTCAACATTCCACTTTCAGGATTATGACTCCAAACAAAGGGACTGATCTACATTCATTATGTGGACTGCTGACTTACCCATCCCAGCCTTATATAGACATTGAATTGATTTTGTTATCATTCCAAACATTTTTAAAAACAAAGATAACTTCAATGCTTTCTGTTTTAACCCTCTTCTTTCATAGGGTGTGTCTGCATGAAACACTAAACCCAAACATCTAGTGAACAAATGTCCCTTTAGCCAAAAACTGAGGCTTATGTTATCATTTCATTCACAAATCATATTCTGGATTTGAAAATGCTATAGTTTGTATCCTACAAATAAGTTTAGTTACCTTGTTTGGCTTGAATCTACTCGCACTTCAAATGACTTAAAATAGTAAACTTAAACTATGGTTTAAAAACCTGTACATGATAGGGGGAATAAAATCTCAGTGCACTTTTATTCATTCATCAGATTGTGGAATTGGCATGTCTTGTTCACTCAAAAACTTGTTTTGGAAGCTTTCCCATTTCCAGCTTTGTGGAGGGAAATACTTCATTGATCTGAAAAGCCAGCCAGGCTTTTACTTGGAATTAGGGCTTCCAGGAAGTCCAAAATTTGTTATCTAAAGTGAGAAGTTAAAAAGAAAATAGCTAACAATTTTCATAAGTCTGCAAAGAAAATTGCACACATCTAATTACAAAGTAATTATTTATTTTCTTCACCAAAAAATTGAAAACATGAATTTACCATGAATATACCAAGAACCTGGCAAAATTTCTGTTCATCTGTACTTTCTTCTTAAAAGCATATTTTCTCATTATAAAAACATATTTTTCCCATAAAACACAACCAGTGCTAAGAAAACATAGCAGAAATATTTAGCCAAATGTGTTGCTCAAAAGTCCAATAAGATTTGGTTCTGTGTTTCTTTGTAGTACTTTCTCCAGTTATTATTTAAATTATTCCTAACAAGGATGCAATATAAAGAGGAGATGAGGGAACATCTGTTCCAATCACAGGCATAGATTTTAAAAAATAAAATCAATTGGGAAGAAGGCCCAGCCTTCTTCCCGATTGATACACACACTTATTTGCCAATATTTCTAATACTCCCAGAGAAATGTCAATAAGTTGTCAACTACTGTAAAAACCATTGCGGATCTATTTCATTTTTTCCCTTCTTAATGTATTATTTTGGGGAAAATGTGGGAAGATAACCAAAAGCACTTCCCTGCCTGCACGTTCAAGTGGTATGATCTACCTACCATTCTACAACATCAGGATCCTATAATTTCATTCAACTGTATGGGTCGATCAAGTCTAAGGCTAAGTCAGAGGTAGACACTATGGCAAAATGATATTCCTCAGATGATGAGTTCTAGTCTGAAACAGAGTTTTAATTTAGTTGTTTTACTACATCACTTCCCCTACCATTTCAAATTTAGAACAGAACAGAACTGTTGGGTTAGAGCAGTGCCAGCCAAATACTACCCAGAAACCTTTATGAAAATTCAATATGACTTGAATAGAGTGGCTCTTCCATATTTCCATATATATATTCATGAAATTATATGAATGGCACCTTTAAGGAACAAATATGAGAGCCCTTGTTCTCCTTCAGAGAGTTAGATGAACAGAACAAAATGAAGAAATTTCACTCTCTCACCAATAAAATATTCCTCCACATCTCTAATGCCCTAGAAATCCATAATATTCTATAGTCGAACTTGATGGAAGATTAAAAAAAACTCCACATTTCATAATCCATTCATTTGGGAGAAATGGACTTCTAATGCCGCATCAAGGATAGAAGCTGCTGGTGTTTCCATAAATCTCCATAAATGTCTTTTTTAGTGGAAGATGCTGCTGTTGCAAGAAGACTTTGGTTAAGACTTATTTTCCCATAAAATCTGAGTTTGGTAAATAAAAGCACCAGAACATCCTATTCCCAATCTGTCTCAGAAAATGATGATTAAACAGGAGATCAGAAGCAGGACAAAACTGAAATTTTTGAGGACTTGGCTTGAGGCAGATTGAGATGAAGTAACTTGGTAATAAGTGACATTCACAAGACCAAATTGCACCTGAGGGAAGTGAGTCTGAATCCAGTCTTGATAAAAACTAACACGGGTATAAACTCCTGGGTGGTTGGAGAGGCCACACAGATCACCCCAGCTTACAATGCCTGCAACAAACCAGGCACCATCCTCTTGGCAGACTAATGGACCTCCAGAGTCACCCTGATTGAGAAAAGTAAGCAATAAGAGTTTATGTTATCCCTCTGTCCATAACAAAGATTATTTGTTCTCTTTTATGCACAGCCTGGACAGCATAAAAACACTATAATGCTACAATTTTACCAAGACAATCCATCACTTTTCTGGTGGAATAGGCTGAGCTAAAATTCATATTGGAGAACACAATCAGCAAATTCTTGTTTTACTCTAAATACATTTGCTAAAATGCCATTTCTGATACTTCCTGGAATAGTCATGTGTCTCACAGCATCACAGAGCCACACAGGCATTCCAAGAAGTGCAGAAAAGAAACAGCAATCTCTGTTGAGAATGCCATAGTGCTATGAGAAAAGAAAGAAAAATCCAAGAGCCTCAACCACTTCAAAGGAAGGTGCATCATGACTAATAGGACAAGTTGGTTAGGCATTTTAGCACACTCTTATGATTTTTCCATCCTTGAGTGTTCTTTGAAAATGCCATTCCATACTATGTCCATCAACATCCTCTCTTACCAAGCAAGCATCTTTTTTTCCCTCAGCATAGCCAGCACAGAACATGTCATCCTGGATCTCTCTGATGGTGGGACTAATATTCGTACCAATGTGAAAGAGAGCATCACAGGTCATGGTGTCTATCAGTGGCAACTGGACCTCCTGCAATGTTTTAGGACCTCCCAGAGTGGCTTGAAGAAAAAAATACATCATTATTGTTAAGGTTATTACTATTATTTTCCCCTGCTCAATTGCATCCAATTCTCAGAGACAGCCTGGACAAATCCCTGTAGTTATCTTGCAAAGATTTGCCAAAAGTAGTTTGCCATTGTCTCCTTCCTCAGGCTGTGAGAAAATGACTGGCGCAAGATAATCCAGCTGGCTTTGTGCCTAAGGCAGGACTAGAATGCACAGTGTTCCCTTTTCTTTTCAGATACCTTAATTAATTGCTCTGGTTCTTAGTACAATATAGGAAGGTTGGTAGCAATGGCTCTGAGTGGAAACAGGGTACAATATAGCTGACAAGATTTCTTTAGTGAAAGATACATTTTCCACAGGATAGCAAGTAATCAAAAATAAGTATGAGAAATTAAGCAGTTTACAATAAATGACATACTGCCAAGAAAGGATATATTTCCATTTCAAAGAATGGCCACACTTTGTTTTAGTCTCCCCAACCCAGGTCCTAGCCATCACCTCACCAGACTGCCACCTTTCAGAGCAAAAGCATCTACAGGATCCACCACCTTTATCAAAATGACAAAAGCCATGTTGCTCATCATGTTGAAAGCTCTACCCCTTTTATATATGTAGATGATATCATAACACTCTCTATTGTTGCAATGTTACTTTTGTCATTTGCCCTCCTGCAGCTGTTGTTTCAAATTCTTGAAATTTTCATATGTAAGGAGCACAGGATCCCACTTGGTCTTTGAGCATCATAACAAGGGCATCACCTTGGCATTGAGCCATTAAAAAAAACCTCACTCAATTTAATGTAAAGTAGTTGCATTCTCGCTAGGGAATTCTGAGAATTGAAGTCCACAATCTTAAAGTTGCCAAGGTTGAAAATGTTGAATTTGACTAAGAAACTTCTATTGCTGCTGTGAAAGGGACATGGACAGGGCCATCTATTTTTTTTTTTATTTTAGTTCATTGCTTAATATAGAGAAAAAGAAAAAGATATCCTAATCAAAACAAACAGAAACAAGTAAACAAAATGTAAGATCAATGCAAATATCTGTGTATGTATTTCCAAATTCCACTAATATTAATGATGGGGTTATTATTGAAAAAAACATGTCTACATAAGCTTTGTGCCAATTTCCACTTCCAAATATTGAAATCCCATTAAATTCTTCTAAACCAAAAACCTTCCTCTTAACCACTTGCTGCTTATGATCTTATTTAATTACAATATTTATTTCTTGTAGGAATCCTTATTTTATGCCATCCTTTGAAATGCTGAGTGGTCTTGGTATAAAGGAAACACAAACAACATCAAATTTTAAAAAGACTTTTAGCTAGTTCCCAAATACCATGCAACATATTCATTTTGTTCACACTTCCTGTCTTGGTTCATCTCATTAGAGTCCAAGAGCTCTCTGTGCTGAAGAACAACCACTCTCTCTTTTTCAGGTCTTTATCCCACAACTTTCCTCACCTCCATATGCAGGTGATCCCCACCCTGTCACCCAGCAAAGGGTGTCCTTTGGAAACTGGACTTTGGCATCAGGGAGACAGGCTGGAAGGATACTTTGGGTGAAACGGACAGGTTGCTCTAGCTGAGCCAGAGCTATGTCCCCGCTGGATCCCTCTCTGACATAGTTCTCATGCACAGCCACTTGGGACAATCTCAGCCATGCAGCATTTGGGTCTGGATGCGAAAGCTGGTAGTTTCCCAGGTTGGCTTGGTAATTAGAGAGTTTTGCATTCCTGTTGGGAACCACAATTAAGAATTAGACCTTTCAGGAAAATTTTGTAGCATTTGTCTTCAATTATCCATTTCAGTTATCTGGCTCAATATTTGAGGGTGGAGAATTTCTACTTGAGAAATCCAGCCATTCCACCCATTTCACATCCCTCCTGGTTATCCAAGGTTTCCCAGAGACAGTCATTATTCCAATAGAAGAGAATATATGTAGCTCAAGGTTGAATTGTGGAATCCTTTCTACTCTGAGCTGGGTTGTTTGTTTACTGTACTTCAGACATTCCTAATCAGGCTCTTTACTAAATATGTCGGTCTACAATTTTCAGATTTTCCTGGAATTGTGTCCAATACTTCTGGCTGAAGCAAGATGACATACACAATGAGCAGATCTCACAGAACCAGCAGCTTTCTTTCTGAACAAAATGAAGAACCTTATATGCTGCTTTTATTTGCCTCCAGTAGATGGCTGCTTATGCAGCTAGAGCTGAAGCCAGTGCAATTCCACACCTTCTCTCACTTACTCACTTAGGGAAGCAATGGGCTGCTGTCAGTAACCATTCAGAGCTGATGAGGGTCGCTCCACAGACATGCTTCCCTTCGTACTGGAGGCTGGCTTGCCATGGCCAAGCATTCAGAGGGGCATCTTCTCCCCCTACAATACGATTCTGATTCACTACCTGCCCACAGACTGGCAAAAAAGGCATGTGAGCAAAAGAGAGAGAGAAAAAAAAACTTAAAAGTTGTAGAAAATGGAAGATGGCCTCACAATTATAGGGCTTTCTGGATGTAAATTATCAGAATAATAAAGATCAAGAGATACCCAAATTCTTCTTGTTCACCAAACTATAACTTGAAAATGGAAAACCTTTTGGCCACTTATTTACCATTTGGGGGCGATGATGATGATTACATCACAGGAAGTCCTCAACTTACAACCATAATTGAGTCCAGAATGATGGTCATAATAATTACTGTTGTACATCAAGGCATCACAAGACAGTTGTGATGTTGTGATAGTTGTTAGCTTAGTGCTATGGTCCTTAAGTGAACACTTGGTTATTAAATGAACGCCATGGTTGTTAAGCAAATATATTTCATAGAATGGCTGATTTATTTTGCCAGAAACCAGAAGTAAACACCAGAAACTGGCATAATTATATGTTTTCTTTTTTCTTAATTCTCTTTTTCTTACTTTCTTTTATTTTGTTTTTATTAAAAAAAATCTAATAAACAATATGTTACAAATTAAAAAGAGATGGTGTTGATTTATTCCACTTTGTCAGGTTTGACCTCTGATAAATCCCCCTTTCCTTATCAGCTCTCCCACCTCTTCTGCCAGCATCCAGTCCATGTCAGGATTGGAGTATGAGCCCCTAATCTCAATTTTGGGGTCCCCACACGACATTCACAAAGTATACAAAATAATTAATTTTCAGTGCTATGACTCTGAGACACCCTCCCCTCAAGGTGTTTGGAGCCTTCCTTATCTATTTGTTCCCAAGAATAGGCTACCAGATTGAGAAGATTCCTATGTTATAGGCAGAACACAATAAAGTAGTTAGTTTGAACTCTAGACATGTGCGCTTGGTTGTTCCCACCTGACAAATCCTGACAACAAAGAAGTGTTTAATTTTTTTTCAGCACTAATCCCCCTATGATGTAATCACGTCACTAGCCTCTCTCTCTCCGAGCTTTAGAAGCTGCAAAATGTTGAAGGTTAACATATGACTGCATAGCTGGACAAAACACCATCTACCCACTCTTGAAACAAAAGATACAACTTTAATGAAGAAGATATGCAGACAGTTGTTCGTTTGTTGGGCAGAAAAGAGCACAAGTCTTTTGATAACACAAAACAGCAGTTTATACTTGGCAAAAACAGGAACAATGAGCAGAAGGGAAGCAAGCACAGATGTTAAACCTGAGAGAGCCCACGTGTGTTAATTCAGGAAGATTTCTATATTAAATTGTTTTCAGTGAAGTTGTTCTTACAATGCCTTCCTTGTAGAGCTGCTATATCTTCCCTGCCTTTTATAGAGTTCAATTATAGGAAACCCGTGTACAATTGAGGAAGTCCCTCCCCTTGTTACCTTTTTGCGTGCCACTTACCTGTTTGAGTACCATTTTCATCATCTCCTACAAAGAAATGAGGAAGCAAAAGAAATGGGCATGTAATTTTCTGACTAAGTAAATCTGAGATTAAAATTAACAAAAAAACCCAAAATAAACAAGCCTGTCTTTTAATCTGAAACTGAAGGCTGTGACTTTGATTGTAAAACTTATGTAACCAATTACAAATCTGTCAAACTTTTCAATGTGATTATTTATTTGTTAATCACGGAAGTGTCTGTGGGAGGAGTCGAAAAATACAGGATTGTGAGTACATAACACAAGCTTTTGGGGGGGGTTGTTACATGGGCTGCATGTATGATCTATATGGAAAAAAAAACAGAGCTCCAATCATGCAGTCATCACTGCCACCCAAGTATTTTAACCTTTCAGTGAGTGCCCCTAGTTAATTACTTTGTAAGTAAGGTGCCAAATTAAATAGAAGTGGGAAGCCCACGGGGCTGAATACAGACCTCATAAATTTGTGGTATAGTTCCAAAACTTCTCAAATCTCTGCATTAAAACTGAGCAGCAAGAGACAATTTTGAACCCTCTACCAAAATAGGATCATTCGAGCCCCGTTTAAACTAGCACACCTCCTTTGCTATTTGAAAATTCTATACATGGAAGACAGCAAAAAAGCTTGGCTGTAACCCTCGGTTGACAATGCTGTGTCACCACTATGCCCCACCACAAATAGTTCCCTGTCCCTGATGCAGAGGCAGAGGCAAGGAGGTATTTTCACATTCCAATCCCAATTATACTGTATATAAAGTGGGTAGTGGGAATAATATGCAAATAAAAGGGAAGGCTCAAGACTGTTAGCCCATTTTAGGGGTATTTGGAGGCTGGGGGGTTGAAATACGTTAAAGAATGAAATGTCCTCCAGGGGCTTAAAGTATCTCTTCCATATTTTTAAAGAAAAGGATACATTTCCATTGGTGGGTATGAGAGCAAACATAATGGATTATTTAGGCTTTACATCCATCTACCCAAAATAGGTTGAATGAATTGCCCTGATACTAATCATGATATCAATGGCTCCATTCCTTGCAATTCTTTGGGACCAAAAAATACCCAAAATGATGTAAATGACGTAAAACTTAACTGCCACTTTTTTGTGTGTGCCTCCAAGTCAGTATTGATTGCAAATAGTTTCTCACTTCTACTCTGCAGTAGCAGTAGTCAACAGTAGTATTAGAAGTAGCAAATAAATATGAGAAAACCTGCTGGACCTGCTTCGTGTTTTATCAGTCTTGCATCTGGAAGCCAATAGGCACTTCCTAGCAAAAGATGTTTATGGCATGCTACGGGAAAGCTTTAAAAAAATTAAAATAGTGCGTCATAAGGCAACCATGCTGTATGGTTTTTTTTCCTAATTCCAGTCAAAAAAAAATTGAAGCATTTCTCTTTTTTTTTTTTTGTCGTTTTTGGTACCATGGCAGGCAAGAAGCATATTTCTAAATGGTCCTAGGTAACTTACATAATAAAGATCATATAGATAGATAGATAGATAGATAGATAGATAGATAGATAGAGAGAGAGAGAGAGAGAGAGAGACAGACAGACAGACAGACAGACAGACAGACAGACAGACACATACACATACACATACACATACACATACACATACACAGAGCAACAAAAAGCTCTAAACTTTCAAAGGATTCCAAGAAAGATTTAAACTTTAACATTGTCTAAACTGTATTAAAGAAAAGCGCCTCTAAGATTGGCCTCTATGGGTTGAGAAGTTTCCCTGGTGTTCTAGCTAAAGTTTCAAGCAGTTTGTTAAGTATTAAATGTAACTTATATTCCAATGTAGTATATTATGTCTATCATAATATTTTACCATCAAATTTCAGCAACAGTATTTGGGGGCCTTATAAGGGGGCACAAAAAGGACCCTCCAGCTCTTGGCTGCTCATCCCTGGTATATTAGTGGCCACCTTAACACTGCTTTCATCTCATTGACTTTGTCATGACAGGTTGGTGAAAGATCAATATACAGACTTCAATCCCACCTCAGAAAATGTAAATGAGCTCCTTACTTCATTTGCTTTCAGAAGGCCAGAAAATCTATACTTCTGTACTTTTAATGCTCCATGTTTAGCTATGTCTTTTCCTATTTCATGCTATTCTGAACTTTGCACCTATTTTGTTCCTCTATTGCTTAAGTTAGCAAAAGCTAGTTGAGATTAAGTTTCAGTATTGTAGATATGAGAAAGTGAGGAAGGTGATCTTGATGGGGACCATTACCTAGACAAAGGGGGCCGAAAGATTTGTTTTAAGCCCTGAGAAAAAAAGGTAATGTTAGGAATCACTCATACAAGCATCTCTTTGATTCCCTGAGATATAACAAAGGGGAATACAGCAAAATCAGAGTTGCAAGGTTATGTTATTATAACCAATTTCAATAAAAATTGTTCTTTTATGCCTGTAGAATAGATTTCCTGGCATTGTCTACAAAGAGGGGCTGGCATTGTCTACAAAGAGGGGCTGGCATTGTCTACAAAGAGGGGCTGCACCTTAGGTAAGCTGCAAAGTAGAATATGTAAAATCTTTCTTGATTCAAATCACACATCCATGTCATTTTCTTGGCAATGACACAAAGTAGACGAATTTTCTTCTTCTAGGATGCATTTTGCCCTTCTTCTATGTCCATCCTATAGTTCTATATTTTGTGGTGGTTCCCAAACCAAGCTCAAAGAAGGTCCTGGTTTACCTTTTTAAGATTAGCTAAGTGCTGTCTATGAGTAAGTAACAGCCTTACAATTATCTCTCCATGATCTCTTTCAACATTTTTGAATGATTTCTCTGAAATTATCTACCCTCATCCCAATAGCTAATAGACTTCATAATAAAGTTTGGCTATGCCAATAGTTATCTGTAAAATATTTTGGCACTGATTAGATCAATTTGATCTTCCCCAAACACTTAATTATAGCAACAGAAGCATTCATATCACAGAGAAAGCAAGTTATTTTCATAGCATTTACAACCAAAAAAGTGCATATTTGCTGCAGAGTGAACACATAAGCAGCTATTTAGGTTAAATTGATACTCACTGTTTGGCATTCCATTTTTCAGAGCACCTGTACAAAGAAGGAAAACAAAAAACATCTGTAAAGTTGAAGAACCAGACAGTTAGGTAAAAGAACCAGGAAGAAAAACTAAACTGTTGTAAAAAATAACATGCCAATACTTTACAAAGTAACTTTTAGGTGGTAACAGGCTGAGGAATTGCAGTTAACACCAATCTGCCTGAGATATGACATCAAACAAAGGGGTGGGGGAAGAATCATTCATCTAGCTTGTTATCATTGATGATGATGCTAACTGGGTACCACTGATTGTGTATTCTGGAAATTAAGAACAAAACAACAACCCAAAAGGAGTTGGCAACTTTAGAAGCTGGAATGTTTGCAATATTTATTGCAGCTGGCTAGAAAGATATATGTTATATATAATTCAGAGTGGTCTCATACATTTATGGAGCAATGTTGGCTTTTCTTTCCAGAAGAATTAGTGATAGGAAAGAGATTGATGGAGGCCAATGTCACTTGTCTTCTCCCAGAAAAAAGGATAGCACTGAATGAGGGTACTTATGACCGGTCCTCATTCCAGGTGTTGCAGCATCCCTCTCATAATCCAGATGCTCAACAATCAGCTCATAATTACAATGGTCGCAGTATCCCACAATCATGTGATTACTATTTGTGACCTTCCCAGCTTCTGACAATCAAGGTCAATGGGGAAGCCAGCGGGAAGTCAGAAATGATGATCATGTGACATCACACTTAATGACATTATGGCAGTCACTTAAGGCAGCAGCCAGAAATTTCCAAATTTCCTTCATTGTGGTATTGCCATGTCAAATTGCACTTTACAACTGCATCTCTTAGTTATGGAAACTCTTGTCCCAATTGCCACTATTAATCAAGGATTACTTGTACACCCAGAAATGTCCTGGGCGGAGGGGGGGCAGGTTCCTGGTCCCAATTGCCAACCCCTATATTGCCTATTGAGAACTTCACCAAGTTTTGTTTCTGCTCCAATTGATCAGAGCTATGGTGGTGCAGTGGTTAGAAAGGGGGGTTGTCTTACCTGAACGCCTTTTCTCAGCATGATGATGGAGAATCCACGGATGGGTTGTCTTAATCTATCTGCTCCAATTAGACTAAGTCTGAAATTTAGTACCGCCCCCTCTGTGCCAACTGCATCCCAGTTTTAGGCTAAGGCGATACTCAGACTTTAGTCCGACGCATCTGAACAATATGGGAACCAGGCCAACTGACCTAATGGGAGGAAGTGGATTCTCCATCATCATGCTGAGAAAAGGCGTTCAGGTAAGACAACGCCCCTTTCTCCAGCATGATTGGATGAAGAACCCACGGATGGGACATACCAAAGCCCTATGTCCCTAGGGTGGAGAATTAGATTGGGTCTGGGTCCCATCCAACGTTAATGCGTGTTCTAGAACCTTACGGCCAAATGAAGCCATAGAAGATGCATATACATCCCTCTTGTAGTGACAGACAAAGGAAGAGGGCGATGCCCATGTTGCTGCTCTACAAATTCCCTCTACGGAGGCCTGAGTAGACCAGGCAGCTGTAGTAGCTGCGCCCCGGTTGAATGGGCCGTGATATGCCTGGGATCTCGCAGTGACTGAGACTGGTATGCCAGAGAAATACAAACTCTAATCCACTTGCGTATTGTGGTTGAAGAAACCTTCTGACCTAGTGATGAAGGGTGATAGGACACAAACAGAGCCTCTGTTCTGTGGAAAGATGGGGTTCTCTGTATATAACAATATAAGCCCTGCGCACATCCAATTTGTTCCACTGAACCTCTATGTCATTAGATGGGTTAGGACACAAGTCCGGCAAAACTATTTCCTGAGATCTAGGATACAAGGACTTGACCTTAGGCACGAAGGAGGGGCCTAGCCTAAGGGTTACCCTGTCCTTATGGAACGTACACAGGTCCTTCCTCACTGAAGAGTAGCCAGTTCAGATATCCTTCTCGCTGAAGTTACAGCAACAAGAAATTCCACCTTCATCGATAACTGTTTAAACAAACCAGTGTCAATAGTTCAAAGGGTGCGAAACAAGAGCCTATAAACCTGATGAAGATCCCACGAGGGGTATCTATGTACAGTTGATGGTCTGACGTTGTTAGCTCCTTTTAGGAAGGAGCGTATCATAGGGTAATGTGTTAAGGATTCATTGCCACAGGAAATAACTGTGGCAAGTGCTGCTACCTGCCTGCGGATGGTGCTTGTGGAAAGCCCTTTGTCTAGACCATCCCTCAGGAACTCCAAGATAACTGGCATTGAAACCGCCAAAAGGTCAATTTTTCGAACTGAACACCAATTACAGGAGTCTCTCCATGTGGCATCGTATATTCTATTCGTCGAGGGTCGCCTGGATTGCTGAATCATAGCTATGACCCTTGACGAATATGAGTCTCAGCCTAAGGCCTGCCTCTCAAGTGCCAGACAGTTAACTGGAGTCATTGAGGGTCTGGATGGCGTAGTTCCCCCTGAATGTGGGAGATGCGATTTGCTGGGATCCTCCATGGAGATGATGTGGAGAGCTCCATCAGGTCGGCGACCAAGAGCATCTCGGCCAATGCGGCGCAACCAGGAGGACCTTGAAGGATCTTCCTGATCGTGGCAGGAAGAAACGGCAGTGGAGGGAAGGCATAGAGCAGTTCCCTGGGCCAGGGACTGCAGAGCGCATCTGTTCCCTCCGCTGATGGAGGTGGGAACCCGGAAAGGAATCTGGGAAGTTGTGAGTTGGTGGGGGAGGCAAAAGGTCTAAGGTTGGGGAACCAAACCTGTCCACGATCTCTCTGAACACCTTCGGATCCAGCTGCCATTTGGAATGGTCCATGGTTGCTCAGTTCAGTGAGTCCGCCTGCTGGTTGGTCACTCCGGATATGTGCTCCGCCCTGATGGAGGCAAGATTCAGTTCCGCCCAGGACCCCAGCAATTTGGCCTCCTGCATGAGAGGCCTGGACCTTGTCCCCCCTTGTCTGTTGACGTGGGCCTTGACTGTAATGTTGTCGGTTAAAATCAGGACATGTTGGCCCTGTACTATATCGGTGAATCCCTTTAGGGCCATATGTATGGCTCTGAGTTCCAGCCAGTTTATATTGTTCTTTAGGTCCTGTTTGGACCACCGACCTTGAGCCCAGTGCGTGTGGAGGTGTGCCCCCCACCCAAACAGGCTTGCATCTGTGGTAATGGTAATCCTGTCTGGTTCTAATACTGCTCCCCGTGACAGCGCCGGGGAGTCCCACCATTGAAGGGAGTTCAAGTCTCTGAAATGGAAGGAGAAGCCATGTAATTCTCTGGCATGGAGGCGTGCCCATGGCACAATTTGCACGCAGGACACCGTCTTCCCCAGTAGCTGTGATAGGGAGGCCAATGTGACTACTCTGGCCCTTTGGATCCGACGTACAAGAGTCTGAATAGAGTTCCTTCGGTCCTGAAATAGGTAGACTGTACAATTGTCCATGTCTATAACAGTGCCCAAATGGAGGAGCCGGGTTGTTGTATGACTTTTCTGGAAATTAACAGAAAACCCGTGCTCCTGAAAGACCTTGATGGCTAGGGCGAGGTCTGACTGAGCGTTTCGGAATGATGATGACTGAATTAGTATGTCATCTAAATAGCATTGAATTCTGATTGGAATTTGTCTAAGGTGGGCTGCGAGCACTGCCAGTACCTTGTAAATACCCGCGGTGTCGATGAGAGGCCAAATGGTAGGGTTCTGTACTGGTAGTGGGCATAGCTGAATCTGAAGAATTTGCGGTGGTTAGGAAACATGTCTCAGTTAGGTCTATTGAGGTAAGAAAGTCACCTTGCCTGATGCTGACCAGGATTGATTGAAGTGGTTGCATCTTAAACTTCTTATACCTCAAGTAAGGTTTAGATCTTTCAAGTCTAAGATTGCCCTCCAGCCCCCCAAGTCTTAGGGATGACGAAGAGGTTTGAGTAAAACCTTCGTCCTTCTTGGTCTTGTGTATTGGTTCAATTGCTCGTATTTGTAATAAATGAGCTATGGCCTTAGACATAAAGTCAGCCCTGGACCTGCTCGTTGGGATAGGGCAAGAGCGGAATTTGTCAGGTGATTGAGAACAAAATTCTAGTCTCAAACCTTGCGTGACAGTGTCTAACACCCATGCATCTGTAGTGATGGCTGTCCAAGTGCTGGAATAAGGGGCCAGCCAGCATCTGTAGTGGTGACTGCCCAAGTTCTGGAATAAGGGGCCAGCTGGCTTCCTATGGGAAGTGAGACTGTGAGATCACTTGCCTCGTTTAGAGGAACGGCCCCTCGGCCTTGAAGGGGCCGCTTGGCCTGGATCTGTGGTCTGCTTCTGCATGCTGAATGATCCTGCTGTCGTTCTTGTCTCTGAAAGGAATAGAGGGATGCCTGGGCCCAGTCCCAGGATGAAGCTGGTCGAAAGGCAGCCTCCTGTAACTGCTCTGTGACATGAGTTAACCAGAGTTTTACATTTGTCCTTACCTTCAGTTAAGTATGGTTCTAGTGCCTTACCAAAGAGATGTCCACTTGTGTAAGGTTTAGAGGCCAGACGCCACTTAGTCTTGGTGTCTGCTTGCCAATTCCTGGGCCAAAGGAGCCTTCGTGCTGAGATGTCTGCAGCGATGGTCTGGCAGTGTATCTAGCCATGTGCAGAGAAGCGTCGGCTAGGTACTGGGATGTAGCCACTAACTTACCCAGATTTTGGTGAGCTCTGAGCTGGTCCGGAGGGATCCTGTCCTGGAGCTCACGTAACCCAAGGGCTGAAGCCCTGGCGAAGAAGGCCATGGACGTTGCCGCCTTTGTTGCCCAGGCTGATGCCAGATGGGAACTACGCAATGCGGAGTCAATCTTTTTATCCTCCACCCTAAGTGCCTCATTTATGTCCCCAGAGATGTTAGCATTGGGAAACAATGAGTTCAAGGCTCATCAGTCTCAGGAATCTCCAATAGGGAGGCCAGAGAACGGGCAACATTGAATAATGTTCCCTCTACTGCACCGGGGCTTAAGAAGGATCCTAAGTTCTCCCATTGTTCTTGAACTAT